GAATTACTTTCTTTACCCCCCTGAACATCTATTGTACTGCGAGGATTGCATCAGATAAATGTCCAAGATGCATAACGGAAGAAATAGTGTGCTGGTACTGCCCAAATTGCTGTTTGAAACACCAAGCAGTATGGTAAAGAGCGAAGGGAACAGGTACGAATCCCTTCGAGCCAGGAAAATAAATGCAAAGTGAACTTGAAACTAAGGAAAGATATACAGGTGTGCGCGCAATTGCTTTAACTGTCCAATATGTACCTCACCCCTATCCGTTACAACTCTTGGGAGCGCCGACAATGGAGCCCAGAACGGACCTTGGGTACTCTCATGCGGATACTGCATGTGGACAACGCTTGATATTGGAATCAAATTCGATAAGCCAACCAACATTCGTGCTCAGCTTACTTCAATAAAGAATAGCCAGAGCCGTACCTCCTCTGAAGTTAAATCTCCGTTGGCAAATCCCATCTCTCCGGACGACTTGACAACTCCTGCTTCTCAGGATGAAAAGTCAGCTAGGGCTCCTTTCTCAGAGGAAAGGCCAGTAACGGTAGACCTGGAGTCCCGTTTCTCTGCTCTAAAATCGTTTTACAGAACCCAGTTAACGGAAACATCCGCCTCTCCTACTGATCCCTTGATTGGACCTGAATTAGGAGGTTTCTATTCTTCACCCAGTGCATTAAATCGCATAATGTCTCTCTACACTACAGGAATCGGCAATCTCCATGGTGCTGCCAGCAAGAAGCCTCAGTCAAAACCACCACTCATGCGCGAGGCCCTCACGCCAGCAGAAGGGCTTCATATACCTGACCCCAACACCGAACTAGCAATCATTCGAAAAATGGCATCCTCGGACTGTGGCTGGGATGGCCTTGCTTCTGTGGAGCAAAAAGTCTCCCAACCTCCCTCTACAAAATTCGTCGATGAACTCCGTCCCCTCCCTATCCTCCTTCGAACTAAGAGATCAAAACGCTGCAAAGCGTGCAAGCACATCCTCGTCAAACCTGAATTTAAACCACAATCAACCCGCTTCCGGATCCGTTTGATAGCCCTGAGCTACATTCCACTTATTACCATGCGGCCTTTGCCTCCATTCCCGGCCAGCTCTCCCCCGATAAACCTCGACGCCCTCGAGCCCCGTAGGCCTGTCCAATTCCTCATAACCCTCAAAAACCACATGTTTGATTCCATACGTGTCACCCTAGCTACGCCATCAGTAACACCAGGCCACGTCGCCTCCAAAGTCACGATGCTCTGCCCGCAGTTTGAAGTAGGTGCTAACAGTGACGTCTGGGACGAAGCGTTGGCATCATCAGGAGCGCAAGACCCGCGTTCTTCCAGATCAGGACTGGATAAAGTCGCTGAAGCAGGAAAGATATGGGACAAGGGAAGGAACTGGACGACTGTGGCGATGGAGGTTGTGCCAGGGTCACTTCCAGGAGGTGGGGAAGGTGGTGAGGATGATGAAACTGGAATTGAAGACGATGAGGATGTCATTGAGATTCCGGTGTTTGTACGGGTGGAGTGGGAGGCCGAAGGGGGTGCAGAGGAACTCGCTATTAGACCTGATACGAGGAGACAGCAGGAGGCGGAGATGGTGAAGAGAGAACTGGCCTATTGGATGGTGCTGGGGATTGGTAGGATTACGCGAGGTGGATATGAGAATCGCGGTTAGCTGCGTTTGGTTTCAGATAAATTTCAAGTTCGCAGACCGCCTTTGGCTTTCCTATTTCTAACCTTTCTACATTCTACCTTTACTCGAGACTTACTACGGAGAATATATAACTGCCCTCTCTTAGGTCATCCGTTCATACTAACATAATCTATCACTTTCTCAGACACATCACCTATTCAGACACTTCTCCACTTTAAGACATGTCTCTATTTTAATAAATCAAAATGTCATTAATAAAAGATATTTATACTTCTATGAAACCGAATAAGGTTCGATTTAATTACGCGATAGAATAGTGATAAGATGTTGACTAGAGCTCTGGTTATCCAGATTGCTTACAGTTTTTGCTTTTCCAGATAGATAGAATCTCTTCGCAGGAGGAGATGTGCCCACTAGGACTGGATACATGCTCCCCCATACCTCCACAGAAGGCTCATCAGGTCCATGCCTGATCTTAGTGTATACCAGCCTGCTTAAGCCTGTTTTCTAGGGGGGTGTCTTAAGACACGTCAGTGTATCCCCCTCAGCTCAGAGAGGCTCTGAGGGGGGCTTTAGCTGCATTAGAACTAGAGCTCTCATTATCTATCTATCTAGAAGGGAATTTAACTACCAATTTATCTCTGACAGATAGGTACTAGTACTAGTATCTAACTTCCCTTGCTTGAAAGGAAATGATAACTTTTGTGCAATAAACTCTTGCTTATCAAATAGATGCTGATTTTGGTGGTAGATTTTCTACATTATTGTGGTCAAAAAATGGGATTTTCCTTGGATATAATAGGGGGGTGTCTGGGGGTTGGTGGGTTACGTTGGTTATCTTCTATTTTTTGCGTGCGGTACGAGTACCTGTCTCGCGAGGATTTACCAGCCCTACAAGGCCATATTTATATTTGTTACCCCCTTTTACCCTCTATTCCACGCCGCAAGCCCTTCGCCCTACCGCAGTAGCAATATTATCAAACAAGAGCGAAGGTACGGAAATTTGTAGCAAGGACAGGAACACCTCCTTTCCATTCATGTCTTTTCCTCAAATTCCTCAGGATTCGTCAATGTATTTTCCGTACAGTTAAAGAAGCTCATTTATGCAGACAAACACGCGGAGAGAGATATGATATGAGAGGCAGATTAAAAACATGAAATATAGAAGGAACAAAAGAGAACAATAAAAAACATAACATAAAAATTTGCTAAGATTGCGGAAACCCCATCGCTTCGTTTCCCATTCAAAAAACAAAAGGACAAAATTTCCGAACCTATTATTTTTATTTCATTGCCCCCATTCCTTTCTCCATGACCGGAGAAAAAGAAGGAAGCGGGCAACAAATAGGGCCCAACGCTCCACCGCGACCTTGTTCCCCGGACCTTTTTTACCCGCAGTTACATTCCGTTTATAGAACCAAGTACGAGAAATGAAAAGAAGAAAATTTGCTTTTAACATTTTATTTTCTTTCTACTCTCAGTCCTCTAAAACTCTGTAGCACTGCTTTGAGGGAAATCGAATTTGACACCACGGCCAGTCAATCTCCGGTAAACCTCGCCATATGCGTCCAGGCGGTGGTCAACACCACCTCGCTCCTTCTCGTGCAGGATGACCTTGAGAACTTTCGTGCCGTCCTCCTTTGTTCGCAGACGCTTGCCGACGATCTCAACAGGGTAGACAATGTCGGTGAGGATTGCCTCGTGGACAGCGGTGAGAGTGCGGGATCGGGGCCGCTTCTGGGTCTGGGAAGTGCGGGAGCGGGCGGAGCGCTTGGGGCGCGGCAGGATGCGACGGGAAGCGAGGATTAGGACATGGCGATCAGAAAACTTTTTCTCGAGCTCACGGGTGAGACTGTTTTATTGCAGAAATTGGGTTAGTGGGTTTCAGCTTTGGGTCTTTGTAGATTGTTTGGATAAGGACATTCGTTTTCGTTTTATTGGACATGAGATTGGGTATCGGCATACCGTTGCTGGACCTTGTGGAAGCCTTGGAGAAGAGGGACTGGGACAAAGATGACAATAGCCTTCTTTCCGTGACCGACTTCGATCTATATTGTTCGGGGCATACATATCAGTAGATGAAATTCAAGATTTCAAGTTGTGGTTCAGCGCATATCCGTGTCGAAATTGTTATATCCACCCAGCTGGTGTCCCTTCTCTTCTGTGCAAACAATATCCAATCTCCACAGAGCCCTAGTATTCACCATCCTTTCCTCTCAAATCTTCTTTGCGAAAAATGGCCCAATGTATCTCACACGCCTCCCACAATTCAAACACCAAACAAAATCTCTCCAGGAAATCAATAGCAAAACTCGCACTCAATTCCTTACCTCACGAGCAGAGACAAACTGCAAAGGCCTGAGGGCGGCCTTCAGATCGGGGGTGTTGGTCTCCAGATCTGAGAGAGCACCTGCGAGGGAGGTCTCGAGCTCGGAAGGATTTTGCCGGGAAGGGCTGTTGGGCGCGATCTTGTTGAGAGCAGCCATGATTGCAGGCAACGGGAGTTCTGGGGAAAGCTGTTGCTGCTGCTGTCTTTCCTTAGTCGGTAGGAAGAAGGAGAGTCGATCGGTTGGCGGTCGTCAGCGTGGGTAGAAAAGTACTGGCGCGCTGCCGTTTCTATCGACATCGCTGCATTTTTCGTGGTGTGGGATCAGAGGCTCGGCAACTCGCTTAGCGGATGGGCGTTGCCATATACAGTTAGTACGCTGTTGTTTCCAGTATAGCGCCATCCCGTGACTCTGCTCGCCCTGGAAGCTTAGACAACGCATGAAAAGTCGATTGCATTTCATGATTTTGGATAGTCAATGGCCTAAAGCATAATTACAGAACGATATGCCTATTCAGCTTATTTACGAAACATTTTTGGTATCTTCAGCAATGCCGTTATGAATCTCAAAGTACCCTTGGTTTGCACAGCCCTCAACACTATCCAGGTGTTCCCTCCAACTGCTTCAACGAAGTCTCTTCTGTGATCTATTTCCTATCAAGAAAATTTTGGCGTGTCATACATATCGTCAGGGTCTACCGGTGTATTAGCTACTTCGCTCTAATCCAGAGCCTGATCGTTCAAAAATGGTACGGGGGTAAACTTACCCTTATGATGCTGCAATATATACTTCCTCGTCTCATTCATATTATGGTCAAACTCAGAAAGCAGCTCGCATCTCCTTATCATAACATCTTCGTTCCTGATGGCACCACCACGAACTGCAGCCTGTGCAACATGGAATCGAGAAACTCGGTTGATCAGCATCATATCAAATGGTGTCGTGGTACTTCCTTCTTCCATGTATGATGCAATTGTAACCCGTTCCATCTGCGACCTTCCAAAGAGAAGTCCCCTCAATTCAGTCTCATACCCATGATAATTGAAATGGATCGTACGTTCGCTGGTGAAGAGAGCGTCGAATGCTTCGTCTGACAGGGCATGCGGGTGACTGGTCTCCCTGCTAAGAATCATTAAATCCGTGATATTAACTACACGCACGCGCAATTCTGGAACCCGTTCCCTGAGTAGGGCGGCTGCCCGGACGACTTCGAATGTGAGTTCTGTACCGACGCCAACAAGCACCACATCCGGGTCTTTTCCTTCATCGGTAGATGCGAATTTCCACACCGAACCGCCCGCGCGACAGTGGCATTCAGCTTCATCTGGACCTAAAAATACAGGCGTGGGCTGCTTGGACCCAACCATGAGATTGATATAGTTCTTGGACTTCAAGCAATGGTTTAACGTGGAAAGGAATGTGTTTGCGTCCGGTGGTAAATAAACGCGGGCTGCGTTTGGTTTCAGATTCAACACTGCTGAAATGAACGATGGATTTTGATGCGAGAATCCATTGTGCTCTTGTCGAGTCCATGTGCTTGTCTCGATGTAATTGATACTGGCAATATCACGGCGCCACACGGTCTCTCTGCCCTGTACAAATAATCAGAGGCATGTCCGCAACGTATATCTGGATTTATAATAGGAAGACATTGAGCCTTACCATTTTGGTGAACTTGGAAAATTGAACCATCATTGTATGTATAATGCCGAGGAAACTCTCATATGAAGGGAAAATGCCCACTCGACCTGTCAATGTATACCCTTGCAAAAACCCCTGGCACATATGTTCGCTCAATACTTCAATTACGCGACCACCCTGTGCATTAGCAAACTGGTCCCATTGGAAATTTCTTCCCGTGTGTGCTAGTGCGCCACCAAGTTTATTACTCTCTAGCTCATCTGGGGAAAACAGCCTAACAGAGTGAGGGTTATCGACGAAAACTTGGTCAATGAACTCGGCGATAATCTCCATAGAGCTCTCCTGCTTGCCCTTCTCGATATGGAATCCCTTCCAGTCCCGCAGTTTGAGTGTCCTGTACGATTCATAAACATCACTTCGCTGCCCTAACTTTTTCAAGTCATTTCGAGGGATGATAGCCTTAATGTCATCTATCACATCACCGCCTTCTGTAAAAAGCTCATGTGGTTTGTACGACGACAACCATTCGTTTAGCACATTCAATTCTTCCTTGTCCTTTTTGACCCCAGGAAGAGGGACTTGATGAGCTTTGAAAGAACCTTCGATAATTTGACCACGAATTTGTTTTGGACCAGTCCATCCCTGAACCATATACGTTAACATCAACAAGACATAGCGCATTGCCATTTGGGCACTAACCTTAGGAGTTCGCAAAATCAAAACAGGCCAACGCGGTTTCATAATCGGGTTTCCGGAGCGAGCAGCCTGTTGTATTTTGCGGATTTCCTCCAACGCCCATTCTAGTGCTCCATGAAAATCGATGTCAACATGTTCCAAATCGTCGATGATTCGTGGTTGATAACCGTATCCCACGAACAAAGCGATGAGTTCGCGATCATCCATACAACCGAATATGGTTCGTTCACTGATTTTAAATCCATTGAGGTGGAGAATGGGCAGCACCGCCCCCGATTCTGCAGGGTCAATATATTTGAATCCGTGCCAGGACCTTTCAGGGTAAAATCAGTTTCTCGTCTTCATCTGGGGTCATAAGCCATTTTACTGACGCTGCTGTCGGCCCAGATTCTGCTTCGCCATCACCGATAATGCATGTGACTATCAAATCCGGCTTGTCCATGACCGCCCCAAACGAAACGGATAGAGCATATCCCAATTCGCCGCCTTCGTGGATTGCACCTGGAGTTTCGGCGTTGATATGACTGTCGGAAATGTCAACATCGCCGCACAATATCAAACGGCATCAGGGAATTTTCAGAGAGAGAGAGAGATATCCCCAACCTTGGAAATCCACCCGTGGTACTGAACGTAGTGATCAGCTTCGTAAGGCCTTTCGTGTCTCGACTATATCCTGGATAGAATTTCTCGAGAGAACCTTCCATCCAGAGCGCAGCTAGGATTCCTGGTGCGCCATGACCCGGCCCCACGACATATATCATGTCAAGGTCATGTTTGCAAATCAAGTAATTCAGGTGGGAATAGACAAAGGTCAACCCTGGGCAGGTTCCCCAATGGCCTTTTCATGTATTTGTAAGCCAGAGTATAATTGCTTGCAAAAGAGCATGAATCAAAAACGAACCCAGTAATCTCGGTTTAATATCGTCAAATTTCAACTCTCGCTTTAAGCATGCATTGTCCTGCAGGAATATCATAGCTATATCGGGATATCAGCACCTAATATGAAAAGATCATACCAAAAGAATGTATAAGGAGCTTACCGGCAGCAATATAGTTCGCCGCACGCTGGAATCTCTGCAGAGAATCAATGACATTCTGGTCTAGCGATGTTCTTGCTAGCTGAACGGCCAGTTGGTCTATTACCTCAGGTAGGTGAGACGGAAGCGGTTTTGGATTGGGTTTATCGATGATTTCCCCAGGCATATTTTTCTATTTGTTTTCCAGAATTGTCCAGAGGAAAATATAGAAATTGCAGCAACGGAACTATATTAGACGGATCAAGGAGGCCGTATTGATATCTCCGTATAGATTAATTGTAACTATTTCTGGACGTAGGACACATCGAAATTAATGAGCAATTCCCACGCTCGTTTGAACACCGACAGTTTTTATTTATCCTGGTTTCTGGGTATACATTTGCGTCGTTGATAAAAAAGCCATGCTGGCTACGTCACTGGGGGTTGGCTCCCAAAAACCGGTTCGTGTATGTCATAGCTTTAACCAGGCAGTCGGATAAGAATGAAATATGTGGGAATAAAATCAAAAAATCACCTGGGGCATCGGGATAAGAGTGTAAATTAGCAATGAAACTGGATAAATGGTGATTCTCCATGAGTTTAGTGTGGCCATTACATAGATTCATGTTTCGTGCATTACGACCTCAATTATGGCTCAATCAATCCTCTCGATAAATGCTGGGTCCTCATCCGTCAAAGTCTCCATCTACAAAGCTGAGAGATCGCCGATAAAACTCGCCTGGGCGCAGGTCGCAGGAATTAGCACACCTCCATGCATTTTCAAACATTCTCAAGGACTTAACAAGGAGAAGAAAGAGGAGATCCAGGGACGCATCTCAAGCCCTCAAGAGGCGTTCAAGTACCTTCTGCACCACTTCTTGAACGACCCTGACCTGCAAGGGGTTGCCAGTAAGGATGACTTCGCATATATATGCCATCGAGTCGTGCATGGAGGTGACTTCGAAAAGGAAGCTGTTTTAACGGCGGGTGCATATAATTATTTGCAGGCATTGAAGGACCTTGCGCCGTTGTATGTCTGAGGAGATAAATGGATAGATTTAACCTACCTCTACTGACTTGTCCATATTCAAGAGAAATGGCCATGCTAACCATGGGAAATCAAACAGGCACAATACTGTCGCACTGGATATAATTGACATCTGTCTCAATGAAATCCCAATGGCGAAAACGGTGGCATATTTTGACTCCACCTTCCACCAGTCAATGCCGGACTACGTCAAGACTTACCCTATCAGTCCTGAAAATGCCAAAAAGAACTGGCTACGCAAGTACGGATTCCATGGCATTAGCTACTCGTTCATCACACGATCGGTTGCAGAGTTCCTAAAACAGCCGATTGAGTCGACAAATATCGTGGCGCTTCATCTGGGTAGCGGTGCGTCCGTTTGCGCTATTCGGGCTGGAAAATCGATTGATACATCGTATGTGTCTCATCCACATGAATGTATATCAACCTGATAGCCGTGCTTTCGGCCCTGGCTCATTGTCGACTAACAAGTTTGTTGATTAGGATGGGATTGACACCTTTGGCCGGGCTTCCAGGGGCAACGAGAAGCGGAGACATTGACCCGAGGTATAAATTATCCTAATGATAGCCTGCCTTTAATTAATGTTGCTGACAACATCCACAGCCTTGTTTTTCATTATACATCCGAAGCAGGCAAATTGAGCCCTGAGAGCACGAAAGATATGCACATTAGCACAGTATGCCTACCCGTACGCCGTTAACCTCAGATAAGCCGTTCCTCCCTCTCCATTATACTGACACCAGATCATGGAGATAAAACCGCTGGCTCATGGCCTTGGCCCCTGTCCTCGCTTCACCAGACGTGGGAAGCTAACTCTGTTCTCCGTCGGATCAGGCTGAACGAATCCTTAACAAAGAATGTGGGTGGAAGAGTCTTGCGGGAACCACCAACTTCTCTCAAATAGCCACTGAAACGCCCGCAACGAACAAACACCGACTCGCCTTTCAAATATTCGTCGACCGCATCGTCGGCTTCATCGGAAACTACGTTGTGAAGCTCGATGGTCACGTTGATGCCCTCGTCTTTGCCGGTGGGATTGGTGAGAAGAGCGCCCTTTTGCGGGAAAAGGTGGTAGAGAAGTGTAGGTGTTTGGGCTTTGCAATTGGCCCGGAAGAGAACAGTAAGGGACTCGCGGATGGGTGTGCAGTGACAGATGTTTCACAAAAGATGGAGAGCCGACAGTGCACTGCAAAAGGGCCTCGGGTACTCATTTGCCAAACCGATGAGGAGGTGAGCAGAGCGGAATATCCCCATATTTGTTGATTGTCTTAGTTGTGGTAGTCGCTTTTTACTTGTCCCTTCTATCATACCACCCATTTAACTGACAGATTTTGCGGGCATAGTTTGAAATGGCGTATAGCTGTGCTTATTCACAACCCTGAAGATCCTGATTGTTTCCAATTCCGTCAGTGTCATTTAGGACAAGGCAAAATTATATGGGTGGAAAAATACCCCTTCCTCTTCATTCCTAAAATTCCAATTCTTAATGTCCTCCGCTGAATGGGCCCGTGTCAGACTGCCCTTCATCAGGGACCCTGTCAATTTCCCTTTTTAAGATGCCATTCAGTCAAGCCTATCGATAAAATCAAAAAGGGCCCGCGGTTAAATCTCAGAGAACTCATTTCCAGATTTAACCCGTCGACAATTGCTAAACTCACCTGAGGCCATCCAGCCACGGTGTGGTTGATCTTATTCAGATATGATACTTATTTGCATCTCGACCGGAGCATCAATAACGCCCCTCGCACCGTTTTCAATGTTTGGCTTGGCTCATTCCTCAGTTTCCAGTAGCAGCAGGCAATATCAACCATGTTGTGGAATATCCCTTTACCAAGTCTTAATCAAATCAATGATCAGCAAATGGCTTCGACCACATGGATCTCTGGGTCATCAGTCCAGGCCGCAAAGACTCCGATGGAGTAACGGTTCGGCCAAGAACATTGCCTTGTTTTCATCACCAACAGTTGCTTGGTTGGTCCTGCACGATGTATGCCGTATATCCTCATTATTGAGAGTCTTTGTTTGTTTTTGTTTTGAAGGGGGAAAAAGTTTCATCGATAAATTTTAAAAATTTTTTCTTGGGTTTCCTTTGTCTCGTGTAGGAAATCCATTGTTTTACTTTGAATGAATAGGAACGTCGCTTAGAAGTCCGGGGAAGGGATGGAACGTGCATCAAGCACATCCTGACCAGGTAATCCAGCCCGCTTTGACAATATTGAACCACACATATAGTTGACATGTCATTTTGAGAGATAAAGAAAACAAGACCCAAGGGGAAAGGTTTTTTTTTTTTTTTTTTTTTTTTTTTTTTTTTTTTTTTTTTTTCCCGCTTCTGATTGCTTGCTCGTATGCAGTCTCCCATTGTGCAATCATGACTTAGGTGTCTAGATTCGGTTAGGTAAATCCCACGATCTCAAGACAAGACGTGACTAAAAAGTCTTCTCGCATTTTCAGCCTTCAGTGCGTCGCTTGCTTTCAATCAGGCTAAGGTCAACGTGGACAAATGTTTCGATCAAATCTGGTCGCATACTAGACCTTCTATCAGTACATTGACAGAGTCTTACGGACACTCATGGACGGTGGGTGGATTTTTCACAAGGCTGCAACGGATTCAAACTCCATTGAGCAAGCGACGATGAACCAAGTGATAAGCTCCACCACCGAGTCTCTCTTCAACTTGCCCGAACAATGCTCGCTTGTCAACCATTTCCTCGCCGGAATGAACCCGTAGTCATTCAGATACGGCGTTATCCTGATGCCCGCTTCGCAACTGAAAAAACCCACCATTTGAGCGCTTTCCTTAAGGAGAGACCCAAATAGAGAGGAAAATGAGAGTCTTGGCTTGGCTTGATCACTTCATCAAGGATGATAAGTCGCAATGGAGGTGGCAATACAGCATATGAGCCAGCGATAGCATCCTTGGTGAAATCTCTGAGTATTTGTATTAGAGGTTTACACAAGATGGATAAGATAGTACAGGACACTCATTGGGGGCCCCTGGAAGAAAATAACATCCATCGTAAACAGAGAGGTCTAGCATTGTTGCCAATGTGGTTTTCGATTCATGGTAAAATTGTAATTACTATGTGAAAATATATCATCTCATCGATGATGCGCGCCAAACGGATACAGGCAATGAAGGCTTGATTGCTCAGTTTGCTAAAAGTTAGGGGAGGGGTAACTGCAGAATGACCACGAGGGAAATGGAAGCAGCTGATCTGGGTAGCTAGCGGCACCTGGGAAAGATTTTGCCGGGGCCGATCTCATAGATAGAATGAGAGAATGGCCGTAGTTGAGTTGGGTGTATCAATCTGTTGAAGTAGGTAAGCTGTAGCGGGAAGGGATCGGGTTAGCGTTAATCTCATAAATAGAATAGTTGGAGAATGACTGAAAGAGAGGTTGAAGCCGGGATTACAAAACCATCCAAAGACCTTGTGTGGACAGATGACGATCCCGGCTATTGTAGTAGGTGTTGTTATCAAATTTAGGAGAATGGATGGTCAATGTGTATGCGCTATACTCTGCATAAATCGATACTGGCGAAGACGATTTAGACGCAATTTACCCCAGAAAGGTCTTGCAAGAGACAACTTGGAAGAATTTTAAACTTTCTTTGTCTTGGCTGGGGTCTTGCCTTGGCTCCCCATGCGGAATAAAGAGCCGTTCTGGACGTGTTATGATGAACATGCAAAACTTCCAATGACCCAGAATAAAACATAAAGAAAAGTGGTGTGAAGTTTTATGTCCGACGGTTGGGATCGTACGTTCTTTTCTTTCTTTCACGCCGTTGGCGATCCTTCCTAGGGATCGCGTCTCGTTTGTTAAACCTGCAGAGCCCCGATCGGTACAACGTACTCCTTGGTCACAGAGGGCGGCAAGGCGGACAAGCAATTTGGAGTAATAATGAAGGATGAATACCCATGCCCTGTGCCCAAACAGGTCTGGTATTGTAGGTGTAGCTGTTGAACAAGCGGCACAGCTTATTTTTCAACGTAGGGCCTGTCCAGGGATTTCCAATTGTTGGTAGAGTCAAGGGCACACAGGCTAACTGGACAAATGTACTCCGTATGCGGATGCTGGATAACAAGGTGGTTGGCTGCTTAGAGCACTTCATCCCTGCCGAAACCAGGTCTCTTTGTGTTGAGGGGGAGTAATGAATGGCGAATGGTGGGATTTCCCCATTCAAATTGTCAGTGATGGATGATACATATCAAAGAAATGGCACACACAA